TACACAGGGCAGGATCTGAGCAGATAGAAGACGTGTTGGGAAATCTCCAGAGACCAGGGCTCCTGGAGCTAAAATAAAGGTGTTTGCAGAGTGGGAGACCAGCTCTTCCCTGGGGCCTGGGGTCCAGGGAGAGAACCTGGACTCTGAACTTAAGGTCAGGCTGGTTAGTACAGCACAGTGGTCTCTTAGCCCGCACTATCAGAAGGGGCAATTTCTTTACCAGGAGTATGTGCATTTCTCTTTTTGCTTTGGTTGGGGTTTTTATGGGGGGGGTGTATTTGTTTTGAGACAGGGTGTCCTCAAACTGTCTATAGCCAAGGATGACCTTGGACTTCTGACCCTCTTGCCTCTGCCTCCTTAAATCCTGAGATAACAGTCTTGTACCACTGAACCCAGTTTTGTGCTGTGCTGGGGTTTAAATCCAGGGCTTCTTGCAGGATAGGAAAACACTCGACCAACAAAGCTATATCCCTACCCTGTTTATTTATTTATAAAAATAGAGGCATCATATTAAGAAAGAAGAGCAGCCTCTGGCATGGTAGCACACACCTTTATTAGTTCCAGAACTCAGGAGGTAGAGGCAGGCAGATCTCTGAGTTCCAGGCCTGGCCCATACAGTGAGTTCCAGGACATTCAGAGCTACAAAGTGAGACCCAGTCTCAAAAGAGAAAAGGAGGGCAATTCTGAGAAGGGAGTGAGCCAGTGAGCCTGGGAAAAACTAAATCCCAAAAACCATTCCTTTTGTTTGTTTGTTTGGTTGGTTGGTTGTTTTTTTGTTTGTTTGTTTGTTTGTTTGTTTGAGACAGGGTTTCTCTGTGTAGCTTTGGAGACTGTCCTGGAACTCACTCGGTAGACCAGGTTGGCCTTGAACTCACAGTAATCCGCCTGCCTCTGCCTTCCCCGAGTGTTGGGGTTAAAGGTGTGCGCTGCCACAGCCAGACAAAGCCAGTGTTTTTTGTTTGTTTGTTTGGTTGGTTTTTTTTTTTTTTTTTTTTGGTTGGTTTTTTTTTTTTTTTTTTTTTGGCTGGGTCTCATTCTGCAACCCTCCAACTCTCTAGTTAGGCCTTCAGAATGCTGGGATTACAGGCACAGGCCACCACTTCCAACCCTATTTGTTGGTTAGTTATATTTTTAAAGCAGATTTGTTTTTCTTATTTTCTTTCTTTTTGAGGGCAGAGGGGGTTGAGACAAGGTTTCTCTGTGGCTTTGGAGGCTGTCCTGGAATTAGCTCTTGTAGACTAGGCTGGTCTCCAACTCACAGAGATCCACCTGCCTCTGCCTCCTGAGGGCTGGGACTAAAGGCATGCGCCACCACCACCCGATGAAGATTTATTTTTATTTTATTTATGTACATGCACACATATGAGTGCCCTTGGAGGCCAGAAGAGAGTATTGGGTCTCCTGGAGCTGCAGTTTTCAGTCCGTTAGTTGTGAACGGTGTAAACTCTTTGATATGAGTACTGGAAACCAAACTCTGGTCCTCTAGAAAAGCAGTCATGCTCTTAGCTGCTGAGCCATCTCTCCATCCCTGGCTTTTTGTTTTTGTTTTTGAGACAGGGTTTCTCTGTGGCTTTGGAGGCTTTGTTTTTGTTTTAAATATTTTATTTTTTTTATGTGTCTGTGTGTGATTATATGTCACCTGTGTACAGGTGCCCTTGGATACCAAAATAGAACATCAAATGTCCTGGAACCTCTGTAGTTGGAGGTTATACGTAAGGTCAGGAACTATTGGACATGGGTGTGGGGAACCAATCTCAGATCATCTGCAAGAGCAGCAAGCACTCTTAACTGCCGAGCCAAATCTCTCCTACTCCTTAGTTTCTTGGTTTTTGGGGGAGTGGGGTTGGGGAGAGGGAGTGGGTTGTTTTTGAGACAGTTTTGCTATGTAGCTCTAGCTGGCCTAGAATTCACTGTGTAGGCTAAGATGACCTCGAACTCATTCATGTAGTCCTTTTTCCTCAGCCTCCTTCCTGAGCACTAGAATTCTAATATAAGCATTAGCCACCACAGCTAGTCATTCATGAGTCTTAAGTGGCAAAAAAAAAAAAAAAAAAAAAAGTGGCTTTAAATAGACACCTTCCTGGAGAAGAAAATACATAGTCTAATAGGTATAATAGCACTTGGGATGTAGAGGCAGGCCATCTCTGTGAAGTTTGAGGCCAGCCTGACCTACAATGTGGAGTTCCAGGCCAGCTGGGGTTATGTAGTAAGACCCTGTCTCAAACAACAATAAAAAACCTACTTTGGCTCTTACTCTCTCTCTCTCTTACCTCCTCCTCCTCTTCCTCCTCTGCTTCCTCCTTCTCCCTCACTCTTGTCTCCCTTCTTTCTCTCTTATCCTCTTCCCCTCTTGTTATCCCCCTCCCCCGCCTGGAATAAACTCTATGGTTAATGCAAAAAAACAAAACAAAACAAATACGTTGTTTTAGGGTTTTTTGTTTGTTTATTTTTTTGTTTGTGTATTTGTTGCATTTAGATGTCATTATTTAATACTTGAACAATGTGTTGGGCTGTTTTTGTTTGACCCAGAGTCTCTTTGTTCAAAGCCAGCTGGGCTTCAAACTCACAGAAATCCACCTGCCTCTGACTCCAGAATCCTGGGATTACAGGAGTGTGCCATCAGTTTTGTTGTTGTTGGTTTTTCTGTTGTTTTGTCTTGTTTTGAGACAAGGGTTCATGTAGCTCAGGCTAGCCTTAAATTCGGTGTGTAGCCAAGACTCCTGATCCTTCTGATTGCACCTGTGGTGTTCTAGAGTCACAGACATGTACCACCATATCTGGTAGTGATAGAAGTGCTACTAGAACACTACTAGAAGCCATCCAAACTTGCATTGAACAACAATAAACCACTAAAAACTCTACTGCCTACCACCTGTAACCGTTTATAGCACCTGTATATCCACTCTACAGTTTTTGTTGCTTGCTCTGTTTCCTTTGTTTCTGAAATAGTCTCATGTGGCCCAGGCTGGCCTCAAATTTGCTATGTAGCCAAGAATGACCTTAATTTCTGGTCCTTTTTCCTTCACCTCTCAGGTGCAGGTCTTCTAGGCATGATTCATACTATGGACAAATAGGGTCCCCCCCCCCATATTTGTAAGTGATGATACAGTTAAGGAGGTAGGAGCCAATGGCCAGCTACCACCTATTCTAGCCTAGCCAAGGTCTGCTCTACTCCCTGTCCTGTGGGTGTACATTCCAGGGCAGACCTCTGAGGCCCATTGCAAGGAGGCTGGTTAACCATTGGCTCTGCCCCCAGGGTGAGATAATTTAAGTCCCCAGGGAAACTTCAGAGATTCCTGCCCAGCCTGCACTGTAGGACTGAGGTCACTCTGACCCCAGTGGGAATGGGTAAGGAGTCTGGATCTGGGAGCTCTATCCAGCTAAAGCATAGGCCCCCAGGCTGAAGGAGAGAGTAGAGTGCAGGAGCCTATTGACCTGGTTTGGATATGTGATGATGGGAGCCGGAGCAGAGAAGAAACTCTGCAGATGGTGAGAACCTGAGAAATGCTTTGGAGAAAGGATGGATCAGATTAGGAACCTGCAGTACTGTCGCTACATTCCACACTGGTCAATGCTCCCACTCCAAATTGAGGTAGACATAAAATAAATTCCTTGGTCCATCTCTGTTTTGTTTTGTTTCTCCAATATTAGATAGGATGCAGGCTGCCACACATGCTAGGCAGCACACACACACACACACACACACACACACACACACACACACACACTATACCTCTCTGCCTTTAAGTGCTCATCATGTGTTAGCTAGGATTTTACATGGATCTTTTTTTGTTTGTTAGTTTTTTAAGACAGGGTTTCTCTGAGTAGCCCTGACCGTCCTGGACGAGGCAATCTGCTTGCCTCTGCCCCCCAAGTGCTGGGATTAAAGGCATGCGCCACCAACTGCTCGGTTTATGCTCCTTTTTAAAACCAAATTTATTTGTTTATTTGTGGTTTTTCAAGACAGGGTTTCTATGTGTAACCCTAGCTAAACTGGAACTTGCTCTGTAGACCAGGCTGGCCTCAAACTCATAGAGATTGGCCTGCCTCTGCCTCCCAAGTGCTGGGATTAAAGGCGTGTGCCACCACAACCAGGCAAAAACCAAAAATATTTTTAAAAAGTGAAAAATTAGCCAGGTATGTTAGTGTAAAACTTAATTCTAGGCACTCAGGAAGCAGAATCTGATATTTATCTGTGAGTCTGATGCCTACTCTATACATGGAGTTCCAAGCCATCCAGGGCTACATAGTGAAATCCTATCTCAATGGCAACTATAACATAAAGTGAAAAATAAATAAGTAATTGAAAAATTTGTCCTTTTGTCACAATGATTGTAGACTTTAAGACAAGAGTATGAACAAGAGCATTTACAAATAATCACAATCATTTGACAACACATCAGCTCAAGAAACAAATTCCACCTTAAGGAAACTTTAGGGCTGGAGAGATGGGTCAGTGGTTCAGAGCTCAATGGTTAAGAGTGGCTGCTCTTCCAAAAGTCCTGAGTTCAATTCCCAGCACCAACCTGGTGGCTCACAACCATCTGTAATGGGATCTGATTCTGATGTATGTGAAGACAGAGTACTCATATACATAAAATAAAGAAATCTTAAAAATTCTTTTGGCCTTGATTATCACTCTGAGGTAAATAAGACACAAAGTGAGGGTCTCAGAAGGAGAGGGTTCCAATATGATGTTCAGCAGTGTGGATTGTGGATAGCATCTAAAGCCTCATGTCCTCAGTCCTTTGTTTACATTCATTTTTTTTGGGGGGGGGTATGACCTTTATTGAGCTTATCCACCAGAGTGGAAATAATGTCTGTACAAAACCAAATGTTTGTTACTATAACTTCTGCATCACAATTAAAATCCAAAGTTTTTTTTTTTTTTTTTTTTTAAACAGTCAACTCAATCAAACCCACTACTTCAGAATCAATAGCTCCTTTGAAGCCACAGTAACACTTAAATATGGTTAAGACTATGCAGAAATTTGGTTGGCTGGAAGGCTAATTAAGCCTCCAACTTGCTCAAATATAATTACAAAAAGGCAAAATTGTGTTTTTCACAGAGATACAGTCCACTGGAATCACCGACACTGGACAGCTGTTAAGAATATTTAGAGTCCTGAGATAATAAGGAATCCAGGCATCCTTTAGACTGTCTTCTGTTGTCCTTTCTTCCCAATCAGAGATTTGTGGATGTGTGGGATGACACTACCACCAGCAATGGTAGTGTTGATCAAAGAGTCCAATTCTTGATCCCCACGAATAGCAAGTTGCAAGTGACGAAGTGTAATACGCGTTACCTTTAAGTCTTCTGATGCATTTCCTGCCAACTCTAGTACCTCTGCGGTGAGGTACTCCAGGATGGCTGCGCTATACAAAGCAACGGTCGCGCCCACCCGGCAGTGGCTGGTTGTCCTAGATTTCAGGTGTCTATGAATACGGCCCACAGGGAACTGCAAGCCGGCTCTCTGCGAGCGGGAAACCGCCTTTGTCTTGGCCTTTCTGGAGTCCTTTCCAGCCTTACCGCCAGCCATTGTACTGAAGATCACACAAGCGAGCTAGAGACGAGGCCAGGCGGATGCACAGGAGATCCCGGCGCCCACCCCTCCATCGTACGGGAGATTCAAACAGCCTATGTACATTCATTGTAAGACAGTGTCTCCCTCGGTTGTTCTGGTAGGGTCTAAACTTGTGATTCTCCTGCCTCAGCCTCTGAGTAACTAGGACAATAGGCCTGGACCATCAGGCCGGCTTCCGATTTTAATCAGATAGATCAGGGGACTTCAAAGAGAAAATGATGCTTAGCCATGGCTCAAAGGTAATGAGACATTAAAACACTGGGCTTGGGGAGGGCTTTTCACACTGAAGTTGCAAGTCATGGAGGCAGGTGGGCAAGTGACTCTGAGGGACAGGAGACCCTGCAGACTACCATGCTATTTAATGCCACAGGGCTAAGGCAGATCTCGGTAAGGACAAGCAGACAGACAAGAAGCCAAGGACTGAGTTCTACTGGTTTTCAGTGATGGGAGCCTAGGAGACACTGAACAAGTCTGAGAAACAGTGGTCCCTGAGAGCCAAGCGAGTGAGATGTGAGCACCGTGCATATCTACTGCTAGTCCACTGTTGAGGACTGTTGGTCATGCTACTGTGGACTAGGATACTTTTTGTAGAATGCTGGTTGCACAGATCAGTTGTGTGCAATGAAACCATAAACACAGCAAGACTGACAAAGGGAATAGGCGGGTGGGCAGTAGATGAGAGAGAAAGGAGCCAAGGGAGGGCTGTAGCCTGGTGCAGTGCCATGCATCGGTCATCCGAAAGAAGATGGAGAGTTCTGGTCTACATAGTGAGTCTGTGTAGGTGAAAACTGGAAACAGCCCGCCCTCTTGGTATGCACATCTGTAATCCTAGCTGTAGTAAGAAAGCATGAGGATTGGTTCAAGTTCATCCTAGGCTACCTAAAGCATTGGAGGCCCGCCTAGGCTATATGATACTTTGTATCAAAACAAAACCCAAACATGTTGGGTATGATGATTTTTGATCCCAGCAGAAGCAGGAGGATCTCTGGGGATTTAAGGCCAGCCTGGTCTACACAGTGAGTTACAGACCATCCAGAAATACACTGTGAGAATATGTCTCAAAACAAAACAAAAGAAACAAAGCACATCAAGGAATGGAGGGAAAGAAGAGGGAGAGAAGGGTAGCAGGGAGGCTGGTTTGGGCGTTAGCTCAGTTGGTAGAGTGTTGGCATTAAAGGCTTTTGGCGCCACATCCAGCTTTATTTGAGCGGGGGGTTGGTTTTTTTGAGACAGGCTTTCTCTGTGTAGCTTTGGAGCCTATCCTGGCACTTGCTCTGGAGACCAGGCTGGCCTCGAACTCACAGAGATCCGCCTGCCTCTGCCTCCTATATGCTGGGATTAAAGGCGTGCACCACCAACGCGCGGCCACACCCAGATTTTTTTAAAAAAAACAAAAAACCAGAATCTCCCTAAATTATCTAGACTGGTATTAAACTCACACTCTTCGTGGGTCTTCCTCCCAAGTGCTGGGATGACAATTGTGAGCCAGCAGCGCCAATTGCCCAGTCTCTGCTTTTAACAAGTAGATGGAGCAAAGCAAACTGAGGTAAGAGAATCTGAATGGGAAAGAATGTGAGAATGACTTAAGAATTTAACTCAGAGCGGGGAGAGAACCTTCCATTTTTCCTCCATAGACCCCTTAAGATCCAACAAAACATTTCATGGTCTGTGGACCATTCAAGCATCTCCCTCTTGGCATCTAATGTTCTTTCTGCCTGGGTGCCCTGTATCTCTGTGTCCTGGCAAGTGTCTGCCTGTTTCCCAGGCACCTGCCCACGCGTGGCTCCAGAACCTGTGTGCTGCTCTGTAGTATTAATATCACTTCTTAGGGTTTTTTTTTTGTTGCTTGTTACAACAATTTTTTTTTAACTTTCTGAGACACTCATTTGCTGCAGTTAAACTTTCAATCCTCCTGTCTCTACCTCCTGAGCAGCTGGGATCAGAGGTGGGTATCAATATACACAAGTAGACACTTTGAGCATACCAGCAATCCCAGAGTCTGTTTATTCCTTTACTCGATGGATTTGTGAGAGGAGTCTTTGCCTTGGCTTCCTTTGTATTATCAATTCCTGGTACAAACAGACTCCTCAATGAACCAATGTTTGGATTATTTTGGTTTTCAGGGTTTTTCTTTGTTTATTTTGTCTTTTGAGACAAGGTTTCTCTGTGTAGCACTGGCTGTCCTGGAACTCACTCTGTAGATCAGGCTGGCCTAGAACTTACAGAGATCTGCCTGCCTCTGCCTCCTGAGTGCTGGGATCAAAGGCGTGAGCTATCACCTGGCTTATTTTTACATTCTTGCTACATTTATTTATTTGTTTGTTTTAGTGTGTGCATGTATAAGTGGGAGTATGGAGGTCAGAGACCAACCTCTGGAAGTTCATTTTCTCTTTGTGTTTTTTTGAGGCATGGTTTCTCTGTAGCCCTGGCTGACTTGGAACTAGCTCTGAGACCAGACTGGCCTCTAATTCAGAGATCTGCCTGTCTCTGCTTCCCAAGTGCTGGGCTTTCTCTCTCTTTTTACTAATGATTTACTTTAATTTTATGTGCATTGGTGCTTTGCCTACATGTATGTCTGTTTGAGGGTATAGGATCCCTCGGAACTGTTCCAGACAGTTTTGAGTAGCCATGTGAGTGTGAACCCAGGTCTTCTGGAAGAGCAGACGGTACTCTTGACCACTGAGCTGTCTCTCCAGTCCCTCATTCTCTCCTTTTACCATGTGGATCTTGGTGAGTTTAATGTCAGCCTATAGAGTCATGTACCACCACGGCTCAGTGGACATGTATATCTTAAATTCTCAAGAGGCTGACATAGTAGTTAACTTATATATGGGACATAGAAAAGTGTGTGTGCCGGGCAGTAGTGGCACAGGCCTTTAATCTCTCAGGAGGCAGAGGCAAGTGGATCTCTGTGAGTTCAAGAGCAGCCTGGTCTTCAGAGCGAGTTCCAGGACAGCCTTCAAAGCTACAGAGAAACCCTGTCTTAAGAAACCAATAAAAAAAAAAAAAAGAAAGAAAGAAAGAAAAAGAAAAAAAAAGTGTGTGTGTGTGTGTGTGTGTGTGTGTGTGTGTGTGTTTTAGAGCACCAGCGCACGAACATGTTAGAGAGACAGGGTTGAACTATATATCCCAAGAGGAGAAAGTTGAAGCAGGCAATTTTGTTGCCTCAGCCCTCCAAGGGAAGGATTAGAGGTTATATCACTACTCCATACTGACACTGATTATTCTTATCCCTATTTCCAAACTAACTGGAAGTGGTTTTTTGTTTTCTTTTATTTTGTTTTTTGAGATAGGACCTTATATATCCCAGGCTAGCCTAGAACTCATGACGTAGTGAAGGGTGATCTTGGGCTCCTGACCTTCCCTCCTTTAGCTAGCAAACCCTGGATTAACAGGCATATGCCACCTTACCCAGCTTGCTTTGTTTTTTGAAAGGGGATTTTATTGTTGAAATTAGGGTTAGCCTCAGACTTTAACTTGCGATCGTCCTTCCTCAGCCTCTGAAGTTCTGGATTACAAATATTCACCAGTGTATTGAGCTCAACTACTTTTATAGTGAGACAGTCTCACTCTGTACCCCAGGCTGGCCTGAAAGTCACTATCTTACCCAGGGTGGCTATGAACTTCCTGCAGCTCTTCTGCTTCTTAGGCTTTTTTGCTACTGATGTGCTAGGATTACAAAATTATTTGTTTGTTTGTTTGTTTATTTGTTTGAAAACAAAGGTCTCACTATGCAACCATGACTGTCCTGAAACTCACTACAAGGACCAGGCTGGTCTTGAACTCACAGAGATCCACCTACCTTTGCCTCCCAAGTGCCAGGATCAAAGACATTTACCACCACACATGGCTCTGGATCACAAGACTGCAAACCATGATATCCTGCTAATTTTTATTTTGTTATAATTTCATCAGAGTAATAATAGAAAAAAAGTCTCCTAGAGATATATGTAGAATTCGGTGGGTAGAGTGCTTGCTTTACACGTATATGCAGGATCCCTGGAGTCAATGCCTGGCACCACATAAAAATTGTACTATGGTAGTGTATACCTATAATCTAGACCACCATTTGGGAGGCAGAGGCAGGAGGACTGGTTTGAATTCAAGGCCAGCTTGAGTACTAGGCCAGTGAGGGCAACGTAGCAACCCTGCCTCAAAATTCTTCTCAGAATGCAGAAAGCTGTAAAGAGCTTTGCTCATAACAAAGAAGTTAAACTATAAATTTATAGCACTTCTTGAACTGGTCAGAAAGGTCAGAGCTGGGGTCACAGTGCAGCAGGGTAACCTAGAACTCAAGGCAAGACAGGCGCCTACAAGAAGACACAAGATGAACAGGCTCTCCAAAGCAGAGCAAGGGGAAAACACACCCTCGGGCAGAAGGAATTTTGCTAGTATCTTTGACAAAGTGCTAAAGGCTTGAGTGAGGGCTATTAAGCCAGAAGACAGTCTCTGGAACTCATGGCCTCTTCCCCACAGGCCTCTCTTGGGGCTCCAGAGGAAGACAGGAGGCTGTAGGGAGCCTCCCTGGGTGAGTCAGTCCTGAGGAGAAGTGGATGCTAAGGAAGGCCTGAAGCCCCAGCTGGACCCTCTCCTGGAGAAAAGGAAGAGCATAGCAGAGAAGAGGGCCAGGGACGGGAGGAAGAGCTGGGTGTCACAGGGAGAGGTAGTGACCCTAAACTGCTGGGAGAGGAGCAGCTGTTTTTCTGAGACAATGAAGAACTGAATCTTCTGCTCTGAGAGGACCAGCAAAGTCCTGTATTCTCTTGGGATCCTATTTAGACCAGTGGTTCTGGGAGCAGAGTCTCTTGCCCACTGGAGAAATTTTGTTTGCCATCTCTGGGGCTGGGGGTTGCTACATAGAGGCTTCTGACAGTAGAGGCCTGGGATGCTGCTATTCATACAATATGCCCAGCACACCACACACCCCCTTCCCCATAGATTAGGACTCATCTAGTCAGGAATATCGGGT